TATGCTCCTGAGCAATTCCTGCTACTAAGTCAACCAACCACTGGGTTGTGTCTTGGTGGCAGAGGACAGGAAAGAGGACAGCAAGTCATCCATCACAGCTTCCCTCACCTCTCCCCACTCCCCCCAGACCCTCACCCTATCCTGAAAGATATCAGTGTGATATGATTGTAAACAGTTAAGGATTCCTCCAGTGCTAAGCCCATTACAAGCTGGGCCCACCACCTCCCCCATTATGTACAATACATTCACCAACAACAGAAATTTATTTAAAAAGGCAACAGGTTAAATTCTGTAAACTGGATCCAGCTCCAAAACACACACGTTAATACTACAAGTAAAATTCCATCATCATCCTCTTCCACCCTGAAAAATATACCTGAGTTTAGCAGTCAATGAAAGTTTCCGTCCCCACCCCCACCCTCCCCACCCCAAAAATCCCTCAAACCCTGAACGAGACACAGTCTCCAATCACGGAAAGCCACTAGTTTGTGATGCTCACGCTGCGGTGGGGAGCCAGCTGCTCGGCTGGCCGGGGCCCACACTGCTCCAAGTTTCCAACACAAAAGCCGTTGTGGCACAATGATCCACAGACCCAGGAAGCTACATGCTGCTCGGGTGAGGGGAGGGGGGGAGGAAGGCCTGCCCCTCCTCCCCCTTGTCCAAATGATGCGTGGCTTTCATCTTTGTGAGGTGCTTCCTTCCTTGGACTAGCTCTGGAAGAAGGAGAACAAGGTTGAAGGCTTTAACTGGCAGCTTTAGAAAGAAAGAACCTCATGATTGCATGCAAGCAGTACAAAGCTAGCACTATCAGTCTACCTAGGTTACATTATACAGCCAGCTAAGACTATAGAGACATCCCCAGCTCCTCTGCAGAGCAGTAGTTCACTTCCCAGCTCCTCCAGTGCTTCCCACTCTCATCTTACGCTTCACTCCTTTAACCAGTGGGAAGTGAAAGACTCCCATTTCAACCCTGCTCTCTCCTAGCGGCCCTTACTTGATCCAGGGGCAATGCTGATGGTTTCTGTGGCGTCAAATCTTCCCGGGACATGGTTGCTGTAGGCATCTTCGGGAAGGGAACTTGAGCCTGATGCATTTGCATTCTGGAGCCAGGTTGAATGGAGAGAGTTTTAGCACATGAACATCAAGAGCAAATCCCATCTACTTGGTTGAATGCATACATACAACATACACATACAAGCACACATCTCTTGTATTCTTCTTTCTGGCTTCCCCTAAAACACAACCTTTAATCCATGCCACCCCCCAATGGCTTAGTTGTAAGCCAAAATCCCTGAATTGAAGAAGGACTGTCATGCTGGGACTATGACAAAACAGTAGCAGTCAAAGCACACTTAGAAAACCTGAGCAGAGAGTTTTTGGAATAGCAGAATTTCCCACTCTGGGAATAACATGTGATATGCATAATCTCAGTGAGAAGTAATTTTCTGTGAGGGAAATTTGAGACAGAGAGGAAAGGCAAAGCAAGAGGAGGGTAAAAGGGGGACAACATTAAAGTAAAGGAGTTCATAACAAGTTCATAACTTTAGTTAACTACTCTGCCCCGTTGTGAGAAAGATGCAATAAAATTCTTGCGAAGAAAACGGTAAGAGCTCATTTAAGAGAAGCACAACCCTGGATGACACATTAACAAAACACTGTCAGATAAAACAAAGCACTGGTGTGGGGATGCGATGTATGGGACAGGCTAACAGGTCTCCACGATGGCTATTGCTACTTAAGGAGCTGCAACAAGGCTCTCTTCAGCTTCCACAAAAATCCAAGAGACCTTTTACTGCAAAGGTCTAAGACAACTCCTGGGTCATTTGTTAGCCTCTCAACAGCACTCACCATCTCCTCTGATTTCAACCCAAGTTCTTTCAAGGATATCCAACACTTATCGTCACCCAGGCATCACCCCCCCTCCCACTTTGCCTTCTCACAGAAAACACGATCTTACCCCGATGGTCTATACAAGTCCTGGGGTGGCCCCCCCATGCCACCTCCACTGCCTCTCTGCTCCATCAGCAAGGCCTGAAAGTGACCTATGTTCTCCTCCCGGCAGCGGTACAGGGGTCCCTCCTGAGAGAGGCCGTTGACCTGGCCGGAGGCCGAATGATGAGACAGATGAGCATTCATGGGCGATCCATACGTTCTGGGCTGGAAATGACTGGCAGGATGCCGGGATGCATAAGGAGAGCCAGTCTGTAGCATCACCCCATGGGAAGGGAAAGCCGATGGGCCAAATCCTATCCCTGAACCCAGGTGCGGTGGGGGGGCTCCATAGAGGAAATCCCCCGCTGCCACCGAACTTTGCCTCTTCGTGGCTGCGTTGTGGTTGTCCAAATCAAGGAACTCTTTGGGACTCTCTGGCCTTTCCTGGGACTCCTCGGACTTCTCTTCAGGCCCCAGATCCTGCCCGTCGCTCGGAGAAACCTCTTTGGCACTTGCTACGTCCATGCGGTTGGGAGAGGCCAGGGCGGCACTCAGTGCCTCACAGCCCTGCAAACTGCTGGTGGACCCCCGGTCTGGGAAAGGGGGTCTTGCCAGGGGCGGATGGGCGGCGGGGTGCCCGCTGGGGCTGGCCTGGGGATGGAGAGGCCTCTGCCAGTCTGAGTAGCCCTGTGGACAGGCGTAGTAGGGTGGTCGCTGGTAGTGGTGGTAGGAAGGTTGAGGCTGTGGCTGGTAGGGGTAGGGCATGCCCTGGGGAGGCCGATATCGGGGGAAGATGCCAGGGTGGGCGCTACTTGGCTGGAAACCCCGTGGGGGAAAATGCTGGGGGTGTGAGGCAGGAGGCGGTGGCTTTCCCCCCATCATGGGGCTGAACCCCTGCAGGCCTGGGTTGATATGGTACCGCCCAGCTGAATTCGAGTATTCCAGACCAGGCATATAGAGAGGGTGGAATTGGTTGGGGGCAGCCCCCATGGCACCAGTGTCCACACCAGGCAGGCCGGTGCCCTGCCCCATGCAAGGCACTGCTGCTTCGGGCAGAGCCTTCCCCCCACCACAGAGGGGCTTCTCCAGCATGTTGGCTGCTAGCCCCTTCCCCTCTGCACCAGTCACCGGCCCCTCCCCTGCTGTCCCATTTTCAGGGAGAGGACCCCCTCTCTCAGAGGCAGGCATCAGGTCCCTCACGCAGCCTGGGCCACCAGCATAGCTGCTCTCTGCCGGCCACGCGCCTTTGCCTTGCCCTGCCTTCAGGTCACCCTTCACACTAGAGCCGTCCCCCTCCACATCTGGGTGCAAGGCGTGCCTGGTGCACTCCATGGGCAGCGGGGGCTTGGGATGAGGTAGGAGTTTGGCATAGGCTTCGTCGGGAATGCCG